TGCCACTCGCAAAACAGGTCAGCAGCTGAGCTTTTCCCATCTCTCTGTGTTTGTGTCATTCCTGAAGCTGAGGCAGCAGAGGGAGTGCGGCAGGTCTGTGTACGGTGTGGTTTTAATTTTTAAAAATTACATTCTTTTTAGCTGCAGCCTAAGAATGGTTCCATACTAATTTATTAACACTTTCCCCCACTCAAAAAAATGCTGAATCTCACTCTCAGCTTCTCCAGATGAGAATCCAGAGACTCAAATCCTGGTTTTTCTGGCTGTATTGCTCCTCAGCACCGTCGGGTATGTCAGTTCGATCTGTAACTCCCCTCTCCCCCTTTTCCCATCCAGGCGGGCTGCATGTACGTCCACGGAGGGGTGGTCAACATCCACGAAAACAAACGGACTGGCTCTCTGTTTAAAATGTGGCTGGTGGTACCCAGCCTGCTGGAACTGTCGTGGGAGAAGCTCCTGGAATATTTCCCTCATCTAGCAACTCTCTCCAGATCTCAGCTTTTGCACCTTGGACTGACGCAGGGACTCGTTGAGCGACTAAAATGAGAACATCTCCTGCTTCTGTCCAAAACACACTACGTTCAAGAAGCCCCCCGCTCCCACCCCCTATTTATGGATACCATGGATGATCTCGCAAAGAACGTGGAGGAAACCTGCTCAACGCCTTACTCAGCAAATACATCGATGCCTTTCTAGAAGTTTTTACTTTTAAGTTGTTTGAAAATCCACTTTTTATTTATGGAGCTCTTTAAATGACACCATTAATCAAAAATACTCTCTGGGACTAATCCATAACATCCAGCCATCAAACTGGCATCGGCACACGCTTGCAACTTAACTTGGGGAGGGTGGGGAGCTTAGCGAATGTCTGAGCCCACGCTTACACGTGGTGCATTCGACTTTTAGTATTTTCATAAGCTGTGTCTAACGGAGGACATTCAATGCAGAACAACAGCCACCCTGTTCTTTTGTTTTGGATAACGTGCATCCCCCTAACGCCCCGCTGAGCTATCCCTCTATAAAAACAAAAAAACAACATGAGAATTCCTTCTGCTTTGCATGTGTTTCATAGGCATGTTCCCAGCTTTTTTTGAGCTTCAGAAGACGACTGGAACGTCGCGTGAGGCAGCGAGCGAAGCTTTGCCTGTGCAGCTTTTTCTGGTGCAGCGTTGCAGTGATTTGAAACACCCCCCGGTCTGTGTTCCTCACCTTTTCATATTGAAAGGTTTGCTGGGAAGACTGGTTTTAAAGTTGCCACTGAATGGACTACGGCGTAGTTTACTCGGGGTGGTAAAGGGAGAGAGGAAAAAGTTTTCCTTGAATTTTTTTTTTTGACACTGTCTGCTCACTGCTAACTGCAAAAACTCACCCCATAGGTTTCAGAGCTGTCTTTTAACCGGTGCTCGGGTGCGAGTAGGTTTCAGGGTCCTTGGCTGCTCACAGATCGTTCATCCCAGGAAAAGCAGCATCAAAAAAAGGGGAGAGGGAACATCTCTCCCTCTTTCTGGGAGCAGTGGTCACCTCCGCCCAGGCAGGAGAGGAAGGGAGGGCTGGCTCTGGGCTTGCTGTGCTCCAGCTACTGGGAAGTTCGCTCTAGAGTGTGTGCAGGTGGCTGCTGAACTCTAAGGAGCAGGTTTGTACAGAATCCTTTTCATTTAAAGACCATTTTTAAGTGCCTTTTTGTTCTTTTTCAATCAGCTTTACCTAGTACCTTCCCCTTCCATCCTAAAAGGCAGAGGGTAGAGCCTGGGGTTTTAGTTTCTTTTTTAAGAGATTGCATTTCTGTTTAAATAAACCATGTCATTGTCTTCATGTTCTTGGGGAGAGATTTTCCCCCGTTTCTGTGCCCTCCATTGCTTTTTTTTTTTCAAGGCCCAGAAAAATAAAGGATGGGCATTGCAGCTGAAGCATTCTCTGGTGCTTTGGACCCCAGAGAGTGGTGGCAGTGGGGTGTAAACCTGGTGTATCTGTCCCCTCTGTTGTACCTTTGCAGGAGGTGCAGCTCACAGGGCAAAGCTGGGAGCCCATTGCTCCCAGTTCAGGGGCTGACCCCAGACCTTACTGGGGATTGGGGAAGGGTGACCTGCTTTCTGCTCCGGGCTTCTCCTCTTCTCCAGGACCATGGTGGGCCAACGGGTCTTTTCTCCAGCTCCCTCTTCTAGCCTGAACTCCGTGGCTCTTACCTCATCCTGCAGAGGCTGAATCTTTGCCTTCTGGCCTCCAGTTCTGCTGGGAGCTTTGTACTGGACCAGACTGGTCATACACATGCTGGTTCTTCCCTTCCTGACTTTAAAGAGCATCTCTCAATGTTAAAACCATCTGAGCCTGGATCTCCAGTCAAGCAGATTCCTAAGGCTCTTGTGTCTTCCTCCCTCTGGCAGCGTTATGGGGGCAACAGGAGTATCCTACCAGTATGAAACCCAGGAAGAAGGTGGGGGGTCTCTCTCTGTACTGGCACCTGTAACACGGACCCTGAGTCCTAGCTTCAACTCTTGACCTGGGACACATTCAGCCACCCAGGCAGGACGATGTGGTCCTTGACATCCCTGTGACACACCAGGGCACTGCTGGGTCACCCAACCACGGGTGCCCAAGCCTCTTCCACCACCTGCACCACGGAAGGACCACTGGGTCCTCCACCACTGCCCTGGAGCTGGTTTCACTCCTCCGACAGCCCTGCTGCGTCCCCAGCATGCAGGATTTACGGCCAAGAGCAGGAATAAAGGACCAGGGACTTGCTTTTGCTGGTAAAAGCAGCATTGTCCAGTGCTGGGACTCCAGTCCTCCCAGTACCTGGGGCAGCTGCTGCATGATGGGTGCAAGATCTTGGAGGCTGCTCTTCCTAAAAACTTGCTTTCAGCCCTGCAAAGCTCCCAGCTCCCTTTTGAGTCCACTGCACGTTGAGTTTGTGAATAAAAGCTTCTCGCTGGCTCACGGGGGCAGAGGCTTCGCGTGAAGGATCTATGGGTCCGGGCTGTTCTTGCTCCAACTCCTGCTTGTCTTCACCTCCAGCCCAGGTGATGCCCAAGTACTGGTTCCTCCTTTTTCAGGGCAAGTTAATTCCCTCCGTGCAATTCCATACATGAAAGGAAAAGAGCAAAGTGTTACAGCAGGGTTGCCCAGAGAAGCTGTGGATGCCCCATCCCTGGAGGGGAGGAGGTTTTGGGCAACCTGGGCTGGTGGGAGGTGTCCCTGCCCATGGCGGGGGGTGGAACCCGATGATCTTGAAGGTCCCTTCCAACCCAAACCGTTCTAGGATTCAGGGATACTCCTGGGCTTGGCCCTTCCCCAGGGACCCGCAGTGATGGCCCTGCCACGCTTTCCCAAACACGAAGGTTGGATGTGGCTCCAGGAGAAGTCCCAAGCATTCCTCACCCCCAGGTAGATGTTTTCTGTTGAGCTTCAGGTGAGATGGAGGAGAACCTGCTGGGTGCCATCATCTCCTGCCCTCCCATCCTCCTCCTCTTCCATCTCTTACCGTCCTGTGACCGTCCAGCCCAGCTGCTGCCGTCAGCCACCTCTGGGTTGGAATCTTCTCAAGTGTCCATATTAATGACAGCAGGATGGTCCGTCCTGCTGCTGTGCTGGGGGAAAAAAAAAAATAAAGCAGCATCATTAATTGCTAACGAGCAGCTGCCCTCCCTTGGGAAGGAGGAGGACCCCAGGCCAGCCTTACTCCAGGCAGCTTCAAGTCTAGTCCTGGTTCTCCGTTGGCTGCAGGATCTTCCAGAGTCCAAAATTCATGACACGGGCGGTGACCAGCGCTCCCCTCCCTGGTTTTTATGCCGAGACGTGTCCCTCGGGGAGAGGTGGCACAGGAGCTGCGTTGTCCCTGTGTATGGATCTGGTGGTGGTTTGCTTTGGGGTTGTTTGGTGGTGTTTTGGATTTGGGGGTTTTTTTGTTTGTTTTGATGGGTTTTTCTTGGTTGGTTGGTTGGTTTTGGGGGTTTTTTTTGAGGTTTTTTTACAGCTCTGATAATAAATCAGTCCAATCCACCCCCTTTGTCCTCTCACCTCACCTGCTGGTGGTTCCCTTTGGAGGAAGATGAACCATTTCTCAGCATGTCCCACCTTGTAGACCATGAAAGGCAGCAGGAACATCCCTTGATCCTTCTTAGGAGCCTGTTAAAAACCTCAGAGCAAGGATTACCCGGCCCAGTCAATGACTAAGCTGGAAACAAGAGCTGGAGCTTGGGGAGGGTCACGGAGAGCGCTGGAGCCCACAGCCACCCCACCACTAGCGCTGTCCCCATGGCACGGTGGTGGATGTTCCCTACCACCTGCTCTGGGGCTGTGACAGAGAACATTGAGCGCTGTCCTGCTCCACTTCCAGGGATGGTGGCTCCAACCAAGCCATCGTTGGCGTCCAGCACCCACCAGTTGAGAGGCAGCCGTGGTGGGCACCAAGCGCCCATCAGCCCCAGACCATCACTAACCTGGGTGGTGGGCACGGAGGGGCCTGGAGAGGTGACCGAAGGCTCATTGAAGGAGAAACAAGCTTGGTTCTGATTTGTACAAAACTGCTTTAATGACAAAACCAGCTGAAAAATACTTTTTTTGGGTGCGTTTCTAGTACCGTCAAGAAGCCCCGTGGGATCACCCACTGCCTGGAAGGGCGAGAGGCTCTTCTCAGGCACCTTCTCCCAGTGCGACACGTCCCACGGGAGGGGTCTGGCCTTGAGAGCACACAGAAACCCCCTTCCAGACCCTCCACTAAGGACAATTTTCCTTCCAACCACTCAAGCATGGGCTGGAAATAGCTCCACGAAGTGCTCAGGCGTTGAGGTTCCTTCTTGGTTCAGGAGTGCTTCCGTTGCCATCACCCTTCCCATCACTGAAGCCCCGTTGGCATCCCCACTGGGAGAGCCAGGCAGCAGCAGGAGCTTCAGCAAACGATGCTTCCAGACCAGAGCCAGCCCGGCCGAGTCCCTGAGACACCAGATCACGCCTTGATGGGCGCTGGACCCAACGAGAAGGTTGGAGAAAGCAGAATCCAAACCTCAGCAACCACTGGGTGATGGGGCGAAAAAGTACACAGCCAGGAGGATGAAGTAGACCATCACCAGCACCGTGCCTAGGGCAGAGAGAGCAGGTTGGAGGGGTTTACTCCCTGGAGTAAGGAGGGAGGTTGCTTCCAAGACCTTCTGGTGTGGTCTAGACTAACCCACTGTAGAGGACTTTCATGGTCTTCTCCAAAATCTCATTCTAAAGGGGTTTAAAACTCTTTAAGGCTGAAAAATGAGTGATCCCCCTTGGAGCTGCTGTGAGGTGGCATCTCCAGCACCTCCAAGATGGTCAACCAAGACCCCAGAATTCCTCAAGCCACCACATGGTAAGAGCTGTGTCGAGCTGGTGGCCCCAGGGCTGTCTCCAGGAGCCCCCCCACCCTATCAGCACAGGGAAGGTGGGTACCCCAAGGCCCAGGGACGAGCGGTCACCTTGGAAGTAGTCGCATTTGCCATCCATGAAGATGTAGTTCATGAGGACCACGCTGAACATGCTGGCGTAGACGTGGAGGTCGCTGAAGACAAGTGTGAAGTTGGTCGGCTGTGAGGCAGAGAAAATTGGGGATTTATGGCCAACCAGGACAGCCCCACCCTGTCTGTCGTTGGGGACTTCATGTCACCCCTTAAACCTCCTCTGCCACCTGTCCCCAGGGCTGGGGACAGCATCAGCCAAGGTAGGAGGCATCTGACCCCGCTTTCCCCTGCACTGAGCAGAGGAGAGGAGACACTGGGGGCGGTGGCTGTGCCATTGTCACATCTCACGGACTGCCATGTGTCCCCAACCCCGCTGTGGGACGTCACCCAGGGGCTGTCCTGGGGCTACTCACGTAGAAGATGGTGAAGAGCACCAGGATGGGGATCTGGAGCATGCAGACCTGGACAGCGATGCAGTTCCCAATCTCGATGCTGGGGAGGACAGAGGAATTCAGAGCTGCCAAGCACCGTGTCTCCAGCAGCCCTTGGGTTGTCCAGCTCAGGGTGAGAAAAAACCACCTCGAGGAACCAACCCATGCAGCCCAACCTGGTTCTGGCCCCATTTTTTGGGTGACTTTAAGTCCTCTTGAGGGCAAGTTGGGAGGGATCTGACCCACCAGTGGCATGAAGCTGGGCAGCCAAGGCACAGCTGTGGGACTGGGAGGGGCCACAGGGACCGTGCTGGAGGAGGACACCCCAAAACCCATCCTTCAGGCCATCCCACCTCAAGCTCAGGTTGTTCTGCAGGGCGAACTGGATGCCATTGACGATCTCCGGCAGCTCAGGCACCATTGCCAACACAGTGACACCGATGAAGTACTGCAGGGAAGAGGTAACATAGAATGACAGGATGGTTTGGGTTGGAAGGGACCTCAAAGATCATCCAGTTCCAACCCTCAAAGCCTCATCCAACCTGGCCTTGGACACCTCCAGCACACATGGATGGCCTGATCCTGACCACATCCAAGCTGGGAGCAACCAAGCTCCTCCATCTCAGCGTCTTTCCCCAACTTTTGAGGCTCAACCACACAGCCAGGGCAGGTTCCCATCCCTGGAGGACACATCTTGGTCCCCAGGGTCACCATCCCCATGCTCACCTGGGAGACGGTGGAGTTGGTGAGGATGGGGCTGATGTGCTCCGTGGCCAGGTCGGCACAGGCCGACATGCAGAGGGTGGAGAGCAGGAGGATGACCAGGGCCCGCCAGCGAGACCAGTGGACCACAGCGCTGTGGTGGTGACCAGGCACTGGGAGAAGAGCAGAGACACGGTGGGACATCCCGGGGTGGGGAGCAGAGTTGATCCCACAGCTGGGACATGCCAGGGTTTGGGGGACGCTCACTGTGACAGTCGCTGATGTGGATGTCGTAGATGTGCGAGTGAGTTTTCAGGGTGAAGAAGAGCCCGATGAGGTAAGCGGCGGGGAGCAGGAGGGACACTGTGTACACCAGGGGTCTGGGGGACATGGGTGACAGGTTCAGTGCCACCAGGGTCCAGCCATGGAGACCCCGAGAGGGTCCCCTGTGCTGGCTGGGGATGGAAGAGATGAGGGTGGAGGGTCAGAGCCCTTCAGGGAGGCAAAGAGGGGACCTGGTAAGTGCCACCCCACTGTGGGGACAACCCTGTCACCCTAGGGTGACAACCCCACAGCAGCAGACACTCACTGGACGTGACTGTAGTAGAGGGTGCCGTTGTTCTCCATCTGCAGGGAGAGAATTCCCGTCAACGGGGACAAAGGGGACAAGGGACAGCCCTGCTGCCACCACCTTGGTGGGCTCAGAGCGTCCCCAACCCCAAAACCCAACCACTGGGGGTCCATGTCCCCACTCACCAGGTCAAAGTGACAGTTGTGACAGAGGTAGTGGCCCAGCGGGTTCTGGGTGACATTGTGACACTCGCCACAGACCAGCTTCCCGTACACCTTGGAGAAGAGCGTTGGGGCAAAGACGCCTGCGGGGATGAAGGGACACGGGGTGGGCACCCACGCTGCGGGATACCCCCCAGGCTTGGGGACACCTCTGTCCCCATCTCACCTCCCACAGAGAGGAAGAGCAGCGCCGAGCTGACCCCCGCCGAGCGGCTGTTGAACCGTTGCTCCTGGTGCCGGATGCCCCCGATGACCATGCACAGACCCTTGGCGATGGAGAAAACCCCCGAAAAAAAATAAATGCCCCCCCGAAAAAAAAAAAGAAATCCCCCATCAGTGGCTTTGCTGGGAGCATCCTGGATGTCTACAGAGACCAAGCGCTCTCGTGCCACCCCATCTCACCGGGACGAAGAGGACGCATCCCACCAGGGTCCCCGTCAAGGCCGACTTGACGATCTCGGCATAGCAGCGGTTGCCCTCGCGCGAGCCCTTGATGAGCGCCGTGATGTAGAAGGTGAGCTCCGTGATGGACCCGAACGTGGCGTTCACCACCGCTCCCACCGCAAAATTGCTCTGGGCTGAGATGCTGGAGGAGGAGGAAGGCATCAGCCATGGTGGCACGTGGCCCCCCCTTGTCACCAAGCGTCCCATCACCACCCACCTGGCGATGGCCATCCCGATGTAGTAGGACAGAGGCATGATGGAGAGCAAAGCCAATGTGAACTTGACGGAGGAACTGGTCAAGCGGTTGTGGCTGTCCACGTAACCCAGCACCAGTGTCACCAGCACCAGCGGCAGCAGGTCTGGGGTGGTCGGTTAAGGACATGACCAAGTTGGGGTGAGATTTGGGGTCATCCCCCTCCCCGTCCCCTCTCCACCCCATGAAAGGATACTGACGGCGAAGACGTTGATGCCGTCCACGGCGTATTTGTA